GGGGATGCTGGGGGCCGGGCGAGGGGGCGCGAGGCGGGCAGCCCTGGCGGGGCCGTTTGTCTGGTTCTCCCGCCGGCTGCGTGTCAGCTCTAATTAGGCAAACTTCTGTATTCATTGCGAGCCCAGCCAGCGGAGAATTCCACAATTGAATTTTAATGCCCTAAAAACACATTACAATCAGCCTGATTAATTAAGAGATGGCTTAACATGGTGACCGGGCTGCAGAGGGCTGTGCTGGGGAGGGGGTGCCATGCGGGCCGGCTCCTGCCCCCCATGGTATGCGGTGCGGGGCTGCAATGTGTCAGGGCTGGCAGAGCCCGGGCTGCTCCCTGAGCCCCGCGGGGCCGCGGGAGGGGATGGGAGCCGGGGACAGGCTGTGCCGTGTGGCCGGTCCAGGGCACGTTTTCCTGTGCCAATGCAGCTTCAGCTGCTGGGGAGAGCCCGGGGTGACAGCAGCAATGGAGACAGGCGGGGTGGGAGCATCCCCTTCCCTCACCGCGTCTCACTCTCCCCATCAGTGTGGCCATCAGGGCCCTTCTGAGTGCCCATTCCCTGCGTCCCCACCACGTCCCTGCTCTGGGCGCGGGAGCTGACACTGTGCTGTGCCACGCTGTGAGCGGGGCGCTCCGAGGGGACTCTGCTTGCTTTTGTTCGTGAGTGGGGATGAGCTGGGAGGCTCCTATTAATTTGCCTGTGCGGTGATTACCCAGGGCACGGGTGGTGCTGGCTAACGGGCTGCCACCTCCCGAAGCCAGCTCTGTCCCTGCTCCCTTGGCCACCGCTTGCTGTGACCATGCCCAGCTGAGCCCAGGCTGTGTCCCCACATGTGCCACTGTGTGGGGTGGCCTTGCCAGCCCACCCGGGTGCTGTGGGCTGAAGCATCCTGGGGGGACCCTTCCCCTGCACACTGCCGTGGGTGCCGGGCAGTGTGAATGATCCCCGCAGAGCTTTGCCGGGATGAATTTCATCGGGTGCCCCTGGTCAGCGGGACGGTTTGGATGAAGCCCATCCTGCCATAGCGTAACGAATGGAAAAGGGGAGAATCCATAACCATGGTGTAAAGGAGAGGTTGCAACAGGCAGGACATAAATCAGAGGGAAAGCGATAAAGGGAGCCTCTCTCCAGGAGGGGCCGGCAGCGGAGGGAGGGATGGCGATGGCATCGTGAGGCCAAAAGAAATCCTGGCAAGGCAATAAATCCTGCAGCCGCTGGAGCTGCTCGAGCGCTAATGATCACACAAAAACGCCAGCCACGTTTAACAAATATTTCTGCTCTGTATTTGGAGAGAAGCGGGACGACATGCTTGAATCATACAAGAGTGATGAAGCCGTCTATTAATTACTGCCGGGAATGTTAAACAACATCTGCCAGCTCAGCGGGCCCAGGCACCGCCCGCCCCGGCCTCCTCTAAGAGCTGGAGGAGAATTTGGCCTCCTCATTAATTTCCTGTGAAATCTTGAAATAGCGAGAAAATCCCAGCCGGCTGATGGAGAGCCCACCCGCGCCAGGAGCCGCGGGGACGTGGGTCCTCGCCTCCTCCTCCTCTTGGCTCTGCCAGGATTTATACCACATTCCCACCCGGTTCGATCCTCCCTGATGAAGAATAGCCATAAACTGGCAAAGGTTGGGCATTTGTTTCCCATAATGTGATGTATAGATTTTCTTTTACCCGAGTGTTTTTGGAGGCTGTAAGGAAGGGAGGCCTGAGAGGGGCAACGTGCTCGTTAAGGCGTGCCACAGAAATCTTCATCACAGCTTTGGGAGGGCCTGGCATCTTTCCCTGCATCTCCCATGTGCCGCCCGGTGCCTGGGACCAGAGGGATGGAGGGGATGGAGAGATGGAGGAGATGGAGGGAGAGGAGCAGCAGGAAGAAAAGGAGGAGGAAGAAGAAGAGGATGAGGAGAAGGCTCCCACCAGGAGAGGAGGCCTCCACAGCATCAGCATAAGCCCTGGCTATGGCACAGCCCTGCTGCACCCTATCATTAGCCATTTGCAGCCCAGGCAGGTCCTTCACTTCAGGAGGGGGAAACAGGCTGAGCAGCAAAGGTGGCTGCGAAGGGCACAGCACGCTTCGACGGCGGTAAAGCAGGCAGCTCAGCAGCAGAAAGATGGTAATTAACAAATTAGCTCTGCACAGTGTGCACGGACCGTGGTAAGCAGAGAAGGACCTGGCAGAGTGATGGATCCCACCAAGGACTCCCCAGTGGGCACCAGGGCTGGCATGTCCCTTCAGTGACAGGTCCCTGAGCCAAACCCCCAGCAGTGCCCGGAGCTGTGAAAACAGGGAGGTCCAAGAAATTTGGGTGGGATTCTGGGCAGGGAGGAGAGCTGGGGACATACGTGCAGCCGGCCAGCTTGTGTCGCTCAGCAAAGCCTGTCCCAACACAACCAGAGGAGCAAGGAGCTGGGAGGGGCTGGGGGTGACAGGGCAGGGGACACACTGGCCTCAGGGACTCCGGCAAAGAGGAGGGTTGGGTCCTGCTGGAGAGGCTTTTCATCTCTTGGTCCCTTTGCACCCAGAAGGAATGGGTTTGGGGAAGACTGTCTTTGGTAAAAAATCACGAGATTTAATACAAGCAAAGCTCCAGCAGCTGCCTCCATGAGATGCTGGGTCACACGCGGATTATTTTTCCCAGCCTTTTTCTCCACATAAAAAGGCTAGAATTTACTCGCCTATAAAAGCCGAAAACCAGACATGGTTGCAAAATATTGGGGTGCTTTACAGCAGAAAGCCCAGGGAGGAAGGGAAGCAGAGGGTGCCCTCTCCCAGCCCCAGCCCCAGATCACCTCGCACCGCCGCGGGGCACAGGGGGAGCGGGAGAGGTCTGGGGGTGCCCAAGAGGGTCGGGGGTGACAAGCCCCGGTGGGACGGTGCCACCCAGCCACCCCAGCGTGCAGCACCTCATCCCTCCCAGCCCCCAGGGTGCCAGCCGAGCCACCTGGGAGCCCAGAGACAGGGAGTTAAAATACAGAAATGTCAATTTAAATTAAAATGTGTTTCATAAAGAGGCAGAGAGATAAAACCTTCCCCGCAGCACAACGAGCTGGGGGATTTATGGGGGACTGGGAGGTCTGGTGCCCCTCACTGCAGTGGGCTCGGGGGGTGCCGGGGCCCGGGGGCCACCCCCACCTCCCTCACCCCACCATCATAGAAGCCAGCGCCGGGTCTGCGCCGAAATGTCAGCTCGCTAATAAAATGTGCAGGAGCTGCATTTTCTTTGGGCCAATAAAACTCCCGTGTGTCGGCAGGGATGCTCGGCACCCAGCTGCCCTCCCGCACCAGCGCCCTGCTGGGTGCCTTCCCCATCTCCCTGGGGGGAAACACGGGGGCTGGTCTGATCCCATGCTCTTGCCAGCCCCCCCAAAACAGCAGGTGTGGGGCGCAGGCCCCAGCGCCGGCGTGGCACACAGCTCCAGAGACGCAAGTGGCACGGCAGGAACTAAATCCACTGCGCCCTGTCAAGGTAAAGTGACAAAACACGGGCCTGCAATGCAGGAACTGCAGTTATAACAAGAGAAAATCAATGCGATATATTACCAGAGATATAAAGATGCCGTTAATGCTTCAGCGTGGAACCCAGCAGCTTCGCTTGCCATCGGCAGGGCAGGTTTGCTGTGAGGGCTCCCTGAATTCCCGTCTTGCTGCCCAGGTCTCCCACATGCTGGGTTTATTCGCTGCCCCCCAGCGAAGAGCTGCTTCTCCCATCCGCTGCCTTCTGGGCTTTGCCCCAGTCCGGTGCCCAGCCTCCAGCCGGGGATCATAGAATCATGGGATCATAGAATGGTTTAGGTTGGAAAGGACCTTGAAGATCATCAGGTTCCAACCCCCCTGTCATGGGCAGGGACACCTCCCACTAGACCAGGTTGCCCAAGGCCACGTCCAGCCTGGCCTTGAACACCTCCAGGGATGTGGCC